AAACTCACAGTTAACCAACACCATTATGTTTTTCTTGTTAACTTTTCACCGTCTCTTCTTATTTCTTGATTTTTATTTCATATTCTGACAAAAAAAAAAAATCAGTGTTCTCATGAGAAACTGTGGTTATAATCAAACCTTTGGTGTGCTATGATTTTAGTCTTGTTCTCTTCTCCACTACCTTTATCTCAAAGTAAACCCTGAGCCGAACAATATTAAAGAAAAAACAGCAATACATGAGGCCTGTGCTGCATTTTCAAGACATTTTATTTTGCAGTGAGTCATTTTTTTATTCAGCAGAGAACTATAGCCAATATCCAAAGAAAATGTGAAAGTTATGTGCAAAATACAGAAAGGTCTCCATTAACATTCTGAAGAAATATTTGTGTTTGGATTTCTTGTCGTAACATAAAATCAATGTAATCAACCAACCTATGCTTGGGATCTTTATCCTACTGCAGAATGAATTTGGAGCCAATCAGACACATCTGTCATGATGCACGACAGAAAAGTGTGTGCTTGTGTTCCTCAGCATTAAGGTCATCATTAATCCAGACTAAATCTTGAGCTCTGTTTCTCTGTTTGCAGAAATGTAGCCACAAACCTGCACAGACCCCCACAGGCTTCACAGCTGCTTTCAGACTCTCATTATTGTGCTGCTTTCCAACCGTTCAGCAAACAAACTACCTTCTGCTGGAATCAAATATTTCAAGTTTCCCACTCATTAGTTTGGAGCACCTGCTGCCATTTTGTTTTTTTCACTTGCACTATGGCAGTGACTTTGTGGTTGCGCTTCTTCCATGACGGCCACTTCTGGCAAGACTTCTCTGGGTGTATTCTACCTTTAATTTTGCCGTAAACCTAATGCATGTTTTACCGGTCCACACTTGGCTGACCACTGCATTTAATGCCCTCAACTTTGTTTCTTTGTCCCCCTTCAAAAGTGCTTGAACAGCACCTGTTGCGACCCCAGCCTGCCTAGAACTGTTTGCCAGTGGAGACTTTGCTGAGGCAGAGTTTGTGTCTCGATGCTGTGCTCAATCTTGTTGTGGCGTTTGACCAGAGACATACAACTCTTCCACAGCCTCACCTCAGTAGTCGAACTATTCCTCACGTAGTTTTAAAACTCCGACACAGCTATTCAGTTAATGGTTGTGTTTTAGCTTATATAAGAGGATGATCATGTGTTCAGCTTGATTGCTTAATCCCACACCGGACTTTGTGCACATGCTTAAGAGTAAATTAGTATTCCTTAAAGAAATGCATATTCTTTTCTCTGGTCTTTTATGCTAAAGTTCTTTTTAAACCCTGATCTGAGGTATAACCAATTCTTCTTCTTTAGGCTTTTCCCTCTTCAGGGGTCACCACAGCAAGTCATCCTCCTCCATCTCACTCCAACTACCTCCATGTCTTCTCTAACTGCATCCATATATCTCCTCTGTCTTTTTCCTGGCAGCTGCATTTCTAACATCCTTCTACCAATATACCCACTGTCCCTCCTCTGGACATGTCCAAACCACTGTCCCTCCTCTGGACATGTCCAAACTACTGTCCCTCCTCTGGACATGTTCAAACTACTGTCCCTCCTCTGGACATGTCCAAACCATCTCAGTCTGGTCTCTCTAACTTTATCTCCCAGTTGTTCAACCTGTGCTGTACCTCTGATGATCTCTTTCCTAATCTTATCCATCCTTGTCACTCCTAAGGAGAACCTCAACACCTTCAATTCTGCCACTTCCAGTTCTTTCTCCTGTCTTTTGCCACTGTCTCCAGACATACAACATAGCGGGTCTCACCACTGTCTTGTAAACTTTTCATTTGACTTTTGCTGACAGCTTTTTGTAGCAAATCACTCCTGAAACTCTTCTCATCCACCGCTAAACCAGCCACTAGGAGCACAAGCCAGTGTATCTCTTGTACCAGTCCCAAGCCCGGGAAAATGGTGAGGGTTGTGTCAGGTAGGGCAGTCGATGTAAAACACTTTTGCCAAAACTGTAATGCGATACAAGGGTATAAGCATTTTGGTCAAATCTTGAAAATAACTTTACCCCATATTGGGAGATCTTGCACTATCGGTTAGCACTCGGGTTACATAATTAATTAATTGCGCCGCTCAAGGTGTCTGCATGTTGGAGTAGCTCTCACATTCATTCTGAGATTTTGCTTTTGAAAACTTTAATTACTCTTTTTTTCTGAATGCAAATCGCTTTTTTCAGATGATTACTTCCTCTGGTGTCAGATGCTGTGCTGCTGGCAGGATTTTTACTGAAACCTTTTTTACTTTTGAACATTTGTTATGATGTGTAACCATAACAACAGGGTGGTTTTCTACAACTGGAAGCAGCTGATTAACATCTCAAAAGCTCCAATATCAACTACAGCCCCAAATCCCAAATGAGTTGAAAAGGAGGTGCCGTGGATGCATTCCCGTCTACCTTGAGGCAGTGCTTGAGTGCCTGACTGCAGAGATCTTGGAGGTTGCGGGAAACACAGCTTGTGACAGCGGAAGGACCAAGATCATCCCCCGGCACCGGCAGTTAAGTCTGCGGCAACAAGGGGCTTGGCAGGCTGCTGGGAGAAATCACTCAGGGAGAAGTTCTGCCCAACATTCAGGCAGTCCTGCTGCCCAAGAGGATCGAGAGGTCTACTGGGTCTTGGTGGACAGATTGACATCTGTAGCCAGTTTCTTTGGATCCGATGTGGGATGGACTGCTACAAAAGATACTTCCTGCCCAAAGACATCAGCATCTAGAACAACTCTAATGAAAGCAAGATGAGCTACAACAACAATTAATTTCCCTTTGGGATTCATAAAGTATATTTGAATTTGAATTTGAATAACTCTCAGCTCCAACCAGATCAAAGTTTAGCTTAATTTCTGTAAAACTGCCTGATTTATAACTATGTTTGTGCTAGATGGAATCTAATAGCTGAGGCAGCCATCTTGAACGGAGTCCACTTTCAGAGTTAGTGAGCTGTAGATGTACATCAAATTATTATTTTCAAAGAGTTTCATCAAAATATGTTCAGTGGTTCATGAGATATTTTGCTAACAAACTAATAAAGTTGACTCCAACAGTTACTACCACAACTTTGAATGAAGATCTTATACAATGAATAGAGCTTGATGCATAAGGATTACTCTCTGCTACTATCAGCTAAATTTTTATCTCAATATAAAACCGATGTAGTTGTAGTTTTTGGTTTTTTTTCTAAAATCAGTTGGCTGTGGTGGCCATCTTGAATCGGATTGACTTGAAAAGTTAATAACAGTGGTGGGCACGGTTCCGCTACTCCGCTAAAAGCTAAGATAATTTTTTGTTTAGCTGATTAGCATTTTTGCTAACTTTAAAAACCGTTAGCGGACCAGTTATGTTCCACCAAATTAGATTCTGCTAACTGTAAATCCGCTGACAAAAGTAATACGTTTGTTCTTGTCTGTTGTGGGCGTGTCTTGAAGAGTCCCATAGGCACGCTATTGGCTGACTATCTGTGCACGTGACAAGACGTGATTGGCTGACGCAGCAGCAGCTGAACAGGTGTAACCTGAAACAATCAAACTAACATCAAAAGGTTCGCCATCAGTCTTCAACTGGAAGGGGACAAAGACGTGATGCAGACTGAGTGACAGTAGCTTTAGCCGTTAGCAGTTAGAGTTAGCTACCTCTAATTATTTGTACCTTGAGCAAAGCTAATATTTTTAGTTAAAAAAGTGGGGAGTGGTGGTGCAGAGATTAAGGCAAGCCTATCGGAAGGTCGCCAGTTCAACTCCCCAAACCGACAATATCAAAATGTGGGTGGGAAAGGTGAAATACTCACACCTGCCTCCACCCTCATTTGCTATGCTCTGGGCCCTTAAGCAAGTCCTCCAACCCCCACCTGCTCCCCCAGGCGCTCTAGATTACAGCTCTCTGCTCCACACAGAGGGCTGTGGTAGGTTGGTGGTAAAAAAAAAGAGAACATTTTACTTAGTTGTGCCCACCTCTGGTTAATAAGGGTCGGTTTGTCATGCTGTCTTTAGACTACTAGAGGACGAATTGACCTCATTTCCTTAAATAATTTGCTAAAATTGAATAGTTTTTATTTGACATTATTTCTATCTTAACATGTGATTCTTCTTGACCTGCCATATGTCTGTTACCCATCCGGTGGAAGCAGATGGCCGCTTGAGTCTGGTTCTGCTAAAGGTTTCTTCCTCATGAGGGAGTTTTTCCTTTCTACTGTCGCCTTCATGCTCGCTCAAGATGAAAGTTCTGCGATGGAGTTGAACTCAAAGCAGTCTGCTCCTCAGATAAATCATGTTAAATGATTATTTTTATATATGAATGTTTCTGCTCAGTGCCCTGAGACGACTTCTGTTGTGATTTGGCGTTATATAAATAAACTGAATTGAAGTTATAAAATGTGCATCCAGTGATTATTTCCTAAGAGTTTCATTCAAAGCACTATTTTGCTAACACAGCAGGCAAACGAACACACGCACACTGTATCGCTCGCCTTTCGTCTTTTGGTGGCGGGTGACAGGCATTGAAGGGGCGGGACTAGATGGATGGACGTGTCTCTGCCATCAGAGGGCGGGTTAGCGTTGGGTTGGCCGCGCGTGGCTGCTGCTGCTGATGAGGGAGGCGGCGGGTCCAAAGCTCCCCGCAGAGACCGCAGCGCACAGAACAGTACACCTCCACCTCTGAGCCATCACTTGTCAATGTTGCAGCTCGTCCCGCTCTTTTTTTTAAATTAGGACTTATTTAAATGAGAGCAGAACTGGGAGACAAAAGGAGCGACTGTAAACTGGAAAGACGCGCGCGGACGCGTTTGGCTGAAGCGCAGATGCGTAAATGGCTCCGGTCGCACCGAGCAGGCTCCAAGTGAGGACAGGAGTCTGTCCGCTGTTTGGGAAGTTAAAGACGCGCTGTGTCACCGCTGGGATGTTGTGAAACACGTTCAGGACAGAAGGGACTCAAGAACAGGAAGAGAGGGGACCCAGCGGGCTGGACGGGCACCGGGGGGATTATGGCTCCCTTAACACTTTCTCTCAGCCTCATCACGCTGGCGCTTTTAAACTCGCACCTTTCCAGAGCCAGCAACCGTCATGCGGTTTATTGGAACAGCTCGAACCCGCTGTGAGTAGATATCTGCTCCTCTCTTTGTTGACGCGCGCCTCAGCTGCAATCAAAGGATGAAACTCCTAAAAATACACACAAAAAGCTGCTTTTAAAAGAGAGGGGAGCCTCTCCAGAGGTGCTCTCTCTCTGGCTGCAGAGGTTTCTCCATAGTGTCAGCACATTTAACCCATGCGCCTCATTTGAAGCAGGTTTATATATTTCTTATAATGCTTTAGCCAGGTCGCAGCTCAAACTTCCATGAATTGAACATGTGGGCTCTGACTTTAATGCCAATCCGTGGATTCCTGCAGCAACAGCCAGGTTGAGCTCCCATATCTCACCTGTGTGCAGCCAGTTTGCTGTGGGGCACAGATCGATGTGGATGCTGGTGCCTTTGTCTTCTCATTAGCCAACAGTGAATCCATCTTTCTCACATTCTTTTATCTCTCTTTACACAGCATCCCTCTTTGTCCCCCCACACTTCTCAGTGCTCATAGCCCATTCATTTATATTCACCTCAGATGCAGGTCCTTTTACCTCCTTCTTGGTTATTTTCTTCCCCTTCTTTTATTTTTCTACACTGTCTCACCAGCCTTACTGGTCTTCTCAATTACCTTTCCACCCCCCTCTCCCCAGCATCTCATTAGTGTCATCCCCCCTACATCTGTTCCTGGTCCCTCATTTGTCTCCAAGGCTCCCAGCTGACAGAGTACACGCTCGATGATTAGAATTCGAAACAGTGTTAAACTTGGAGAGCTGACTCAAAATGTGAAGGTTTCTTGGAGGTGTGCGGCGACAGAAATGTCCGTAAAACTTAATCAAAACAGTCAAGTGGTTGCTGCAGTGCTTTCACATCCTCATTTATGTTGAGTGTAAAACTGTTTTAGGATTATAAGTGCAGCTAAAGGGGTAGTTCAGATCTTTTGAAGTGAAGTTCTTTGGAAAAATGAACAGTTAATATCTTACCTGTTGTGGGTAACTCTTGACTGACCTCAGACTGGAGAAACAGAGTTTAGTTAAGACTGAACTGATGAGCTCAATGGGCCAAACAAAACCAAAATGAGCAGTGGT